CCTTTAGCTTCTGTAAAGAAATATTGTTCTTCCCATTACGAATGGAAATGGCGTGTCTTCATCTTCTCGCTACTGCTCATAATGTTTCTAATTGCAGGCCAACTCTAACCCAACTCTAGACTTTGCGCCATTCAGTTTTAAACTGAGCGCATTGTTGCCGCGTCTTGCGTACTTATCCAATTCAAAGTAATCGAGATCGTTCTCGAACAGATCGCTCGCCGCAGTGTTACCACTGCTTGTGTTTATTTTTGGGAATTTACAAAATTTAAGGAAGCTTCTATGATTTTAGCACCTTCTTTAAAATATTTTGTGAGTCACCAGAATTGCCTTTGCGAGCTAGAGGTAGTTCGCGATTGACGGGTTGGCGACCACTGGTATAAACTATAGCACGACATACACGTGTCAGTCGTGATGAGATGTTTACTCAGACTTTAAAATTACCGCACAAAAACGACGATTATTGTACGTCAGGCAATGCTGAATTATAGTATCATGGCTGGCGCTTATCGCAAGGTTGACTGGTGTAGTTAAGTAACGACACAAGATGGTCGATACTTTTGGTATGGCAGGGAAGAAGTTATAGCGATATCAAATAGGGGGGCTTATGGACTAACTGTTGGGGTTCGATTGGCTGACTTGACGCATTTAGTTTTTTTGTTATGCATGTCTGTAGGGCTAACTTCTGCCGAACATAATGCTCTATGAACTAACTGAATACAGCGTCAACCTTCTTAACGCCATTTTTTGTACTAGAAATATGTGTTGCCATTGCTTTTTCAATTATTTCCTTCAATTGGATGTTTGTACTTGTTGGAAATAAATATCTATTTAGCAAAAAAAAAAGTTTTTTGAACGATCTAGCACCGAGCTACTAGAGCAGTATAATCTTGGAGACGCGATAATGCATCTGGTAGTATTGCGGCGAGCAATGGCCGATTCCTGATTGCCTTCAATATAAATCGTGCTTAGAATTTGTTCCGAAGAGCACTTTCAATCGGTTGAAATATCCAGATACCAAGAGCCATGCCGCACCGTCTGACGTCAGTCTAGGCCTTACACCTCATGAATTATTTAGACCCAGCCGTATACTTAGGACAGGATAAATATGATTTACGCAAATGGTTTGCTTGAGGAGCCACGGACGTATGTACGTAAATAAATATGTCCTATAAGGGGTGGCAGGACATCTTTTTGAACATTTTTATTAGGGTTATCAAATAAGGGTGCAGGTTGTTCCACGTAGAACTTCAGCGTTCTATTCCTCGAGAAGTTGACGTTAGATAATTATGGTATGATCGATGCGAGAAATTAGGCTAAAATAATTTCAAAATAGTAGTTCCTTCGTTCGTATCGGAAGTAGATACCCAGTTTCTTATGGTATTTTAAATAAAAAACTCTGTATATTTTCCAATTTTTAAAATCTTCAAATATATTCTATGTCCTTGTCGAACGATTTGCAACTGTCTTATTATTATCTATACATATATAAAGAGAAAATGATCATGCGAAGAAAGGTATTTAACAAAAAATAGAAAAATAATGGGCAAAATCCGCAAAAAAAATTAAAGTGTATTCGAGCAGAAAATAGGATAGGTAACCCGAGCGATACGTATTTCTGCTGGTTGGTTTCATCAGGCTCGAAATGAATGCACATATGTAACTACAAAAGTAAATGCACATGCCCATACATGCGGATACGAGTGTAACCTGAGGAAACGAAGATGGAGAGGGAAAAAAATCACACAAAAATGTGTCGGTTGGCTCTTGTTGTAGACTTCTTGTGTGATTTTTTCCCTCTCCATCTTCGTTTCCTCAGGTTACACCCGTATCCGCATGTATGGGCATGTGCATCTACTTTTGTAGTTACACATGTGCATTCATTTCGGGACTGATAAAGCCAACCAGCAGAAATACGTATCGCTCGGGTTACCTATCCTATTTTCTGCTCGTATATATATTTAGCAGAAAAATAAACCTGATGAAACAAATGAAGAACAGGGTTATAAAAATCTCTGACAGTACTTTCCATCTTTCCAATTTAAGGAAGCTTTCAGTCTTATTTATCAACAATGGCTATCCTAAGTATTTGGTTAACAGAATCTTGTTCAGTTCTCCTCCAAATATTTTGCCAATGACGAATAACAATAGTGAAAATGACAACACTGTTCAGTCCAACCAGATATCCATGAATTCTTCAACCAATGAGAATAACAGCACTGCAGTGGGTGCTAATATTTCCAGAGTTAATTATGTTGTCTTGCCATACATCAAAGAACTAACACCAAAATTGATCAGGATGTATAATTCCTTTAATTGTCGTTTTGCTTGTAAATCAGTGCTCACAGTCAACAGTTTGTTGTCCAAAATGAAGGATAAGGTTCAGTTGCTTGATTCAACCAACACTGTCTATCGCATTAATTGCAACAACGGTAATTTAGTTTATATAGGCATCAGAGAGATGTGCTTTGGCATCTCATATTAACAACACAGGTCATCTATGAATTATGGCAGTATTGAGATTCTTGATAAAGAAAAAAGACTCTCAAAACGCTTATTTTTAGAAATGTCCCACATTTTGATGACAGATCATTGCATGAATAAAAAGGCTGATGTTAAGCAGCTCAGTGTCATTTATTCCTACCTGTTGAATTGCGAAAAGCTAGAACTGCTACATATCCAAATTGAACCAACATCTTCACAAAATTAGAATACATTTCTCACTCACATTCTTAATGTAAACTCACATAACCCATCTTTTCAAGGTTGTATCAATATCACATATTCTTACACTCATATGAACTACACACTTTTTTCCAAAACAAATTGATTCAGCATTTTAGTAATTTTGGGTGGAGGTTTACCGAGCGTCCCTCGTATACTTCATACCCAATTTGGACAAGGAGGTTTACAGTTCCATGGTCCGTCGCGTCATTCACTTGTCATCTGTCGACGCTTTATCCTTCCGTGCCGTCCCCCTCTCCACGAGTAGCGGAAGTAGGAGGTTAGAGACTGCATTCCGATTGTTTCACTAAAATGTCTTCTCACGTGTAATACTTTCTAGTCCGGGTGGATTGATATTTTTAACATGTAACGGAGGTATCTGTCGTTTTCAACAAGCCCAATGCCCCCGCCCTTTTGTTTTTATACTGATTACAAGTTCTATCTTCTCTACGTTCATTTTGAAACACCTTGTGGCTGCAACCTCACCGAAGAGTAAGTTGTCTGACATTTAAATCTGTCCTAGCTGTTTTCTTTGCTAGCATCACCATTGTGTTTTCAGAATCCTGATGAAGGCTCCACAGATAATGCCGAAAGCTTGATGTTATCGTCAAAAGAGTCAAGCCTAGAAATTTGCCAATTTCCAATTAATTCTATTTTGTGCGCTATATATATCTTATTAGAGACGGGGGTTTACTTCAGTAGGCTCCATTCGATATTTGATAATTATTAATACAAAAAAAATTGGACAAAAAATGAATTGTATAAAATGCAAAAACTCCATTTTCCCCAAATGGAATCCCTCTGGTTTTATAACCTCATCATCTATCTATGAAAATAAGCATACATTTGTAGATTGTCTACTTCGCAAATTGATAGCTTAGGGAATATTTGCAAATACGAGTACTATATATAATATAAGTAATTTTATACCAGTCTCTTGATGAAATGAGTCATAAGCTTATGAGTCCATAGTACGTGGTGCATGTATTTGCATATTTTAAATTTAATTTTCATCCGGTTTTTGACTACATTATTAATCAGTCATATCGAATAAAGTCTACTAAATAAGCCACTTACAAATCGCTCGAGAAGGACAAAATATATGAAAATTCAGCATTTGTTTTTATACACAATTTGATATTTCTTAGAAAACAATTAGATCTTGGTGGAATGTATTTTGAATCTTGCGAGGATTTCGAAAAATCGAATAATATACTGGGTGTTAGATTCAAAATAACCAACTTGATATCTACTTCTGGTACAACCGGAAGTGCTACCATGTTGATAGTCTAAGGGCCTGTATTATAAAGCACGTTTTCAACCTTCGGTTGATCAACCGTCAGTTCAATGCTAACCGCCGGTTGAAATTATTTCGGTATTATTACCATTAGTTCAGGTCGACGTTGGCCAATTAGAAATTCGCGTCCGTTTTCACAATGTTGCCTATTCTGCGGACTGTGTTATAACCAATCAGAATTAAGTATTTCAATTTTCCCGCTACGATCGGTCGCATCGTCTCATTCAACATAAGCCGGGCGTAACCTGACCTAACCTTATATTTTGTTTTGATTTGATTACTATTGCAAATTGCAAGCATTTTGTATGTGTCTATGGCTACAAAAAATGAAATAATTGTTTATAGTGATGTAGATTGCCACCGGCTAGTGGACATTATAATTACATATAGAAACGTTATAGAGTGTAAAAAAACTGACGCCACAACCTGGAAAGAAAAAGTAAGAACATGTTTTTTATTTAAGTAGATTATGTACATGTAACATGTTATGTATATTATAGAATGCCACTTGGCAGAAAATTGCCCAAATTTATGAGTAAGCACATGCTATAACAAAATATCTTGCTGTCTCGAGTGATGATCTGATGCCAAGAGATAGAATTGGAAATCGTCTTTTTAGAACACCAAATAATCTTTCAATTGGATTCCGAATTCTAATTTGAGACTCATTAAATATTTGTTCTACCTCTGCTGCTGGATTGGCAATAGGTGTTATCAAGTACCTTTTAACGCATATCCTGAATCGCCAAGAAGTAGTGTGTTGCCAAACTCATGTGTTTCGAAACGAGCTTGCAACCTACTATTATTAAATATTGTCTGATCGTGTGTAGATCCAGGCCATCGTACAACAATATCTCTGATCCATAAATCAGAATCCCCAACTACTTGCACATTAATAGAAAAGTAGCCTTTTCTGTTACGAACATATTCAGCATTATTTCCTCCTGAAAACCAACACAAGCTTAGTTAACTAAAGATTAAATTAATTACCTGGTGAAATAATTTTTATATGGGTACAGTCAATGGCACCAATAACCCGAGGAAATCTTGCAATGTTGTAAAATTTGTTTTCTATACTCTGTATTTCTTGCTGTGTTCTGGGCATTTTTATATATTCTGGAGCTAATGTTACAATAGAGTGTATCACCTTCTTGTCAACCTGGCTGGCAGTCGATTTGTGTATACCACCAAAATCACCAATTGTTTGTACCATAGATCCTGTAGCACATAATCATAATACCAGCAGTAACTGTTGCATTGATGTTAATGCGTGATTCCTATAAAAGGTATGTTTTACGTTATTAACATACTGGTTGATTGTAGGATTAGGTATTTACTAACCTTTCTGTATTTGGGCGATACTGTCCCTTATTCTTTCCTCCAACATAATTACGGTGCTTTTGCTAAGACGAAATCTTAATCTAAATTCATCTTCATTCCATCTGGTAAAGTGATCAACACGGGCTCTAAAAATTTCTAGCAGTTCTAAAAATTCTGTTTTGTAACCTTCCTGCTAATTCATCTTCTGATGTATCAGACGAAGATTCACTGTCACTACTATCTCTCCACAGTAATTGTTCGTTTTCTGAAGACGACGATGATGACATTTTCCAGTAATGCAAAGAAAAATCAAAGAAAATACACAAATCACTCCCGACTCAACCGGTAGTTGGCATTTCAAAACGAAACCCAATCCTCCGGTTGACTGAAACGTCACTGAACCGACAGTTCAACTTTCGGTTATCGTTTATAATACCGAAATCAGTTAACCTCCGGTTCAAATTCAGCCTTCGGTGAACCGTACATTATAATACCGGGCCTAAGTGAGTTCCTCATATCCTCATATCAGTTATACCATAACCTCAAGATTTCATAGTTGTCTAAAGTTAGGTTTGTGGGTAATCGAACACTGAAGTTTTACGTGGGACACCCTGTATAGCTGGGGTCTCTTAGGGATGTTCCAAATCAAACTGTAATCATGAGGAAACCATTAGAAATTTAGTGCGTCATTTGTTACAATAAGACTTCACTTAACCTTCAAGTAGGCGCTACTGTGTATAAAATACACATCGTCGCCTTCCAGGCGTAGTGTCGTAACTAACAAAAATCCAAAAATTGAGTTACGCCGCCCCAAAACTCACTTTGAACTGCTGCAAGTTCCCACAAAGTGACGTAATTGTATGAGCAAAAAACTTTGAGCAATAGCAAAGAAGATAAATGGTGTATCTAACAAAATTTCGTTTTTAAATCACACTAAACGACGTAACTTGATTTACGACAGTTTGCGAGAAATAATTATTGGTACAGTATCGAATCACATGAAGTGGCGTATGTGTAGTGTCTACTTGTGTTCAAAAGCATCGAGTATTACTCAGCAAAAGGTGTAAAATCTGTAGTTCTATATTCACATGGATGTTTTGGCCAGAACAAGAACTCGATTATGGCTGCCATGATGTTGTATGCAGTTCAGAAACTCAAGGGAACCGAAACCATATTCAGCGCATAGTACAATAAGTTCAGCTATTTCACAATGCTCGATGCACTCTCTTAACCGAGCATGAATTTTGATAGTGAAATTCAATAATTTGCTAGCGTTGTTCGTTCGTAAGTCGATTCATGGTTAACTCTGAACAAGTTTGACAATTACACAAGACACGATTCACGCGTCATCTGTCAGAAACAGTGTTGCCAAAAAGATACTAGTAAAAAAATTAGTAAGGTAAGACGTTGAGGAGGAGTTGCGCGGGGCACGCCTTGTGTTTATCCGCGCCGCTGTGTACTTTTTAGACGTAGGGACTAGTTATGTAAGTATAATTTTAAAGACAAATTCTATTTTTACTTTT